GTTTGGACAGTCAATTAACCTGGCTACTGGAAAACCAGTCTGTTCCAGCAGTAACAAGTGATTCTGTGCCATCTCATCTAAATGTCTTGTCTCCTGAGCCTACTTTTATAGAGCCAGGAATGCTTATGTTTGATTTCGAAACCTCTTGGAATGGTCTCACACAGGTGTAGTCTCGACGGTCTCTATCCGTGCTTCCCTAAAGACCTGAAGCTTGCATGGGTATAGCGAGCCTTGCTTGTGCTTTCAAATTAAAAGAAGCTATTTAACACAATTTGTGTTTCAGCAAAATCATTGTCTGCAGGCTTACGGTTGCAATGAGCTTTGGTCTTGTATAGTCTTGTGAAGTCTGAGTGTACAAAGGTATTGTTAGGTGAGATGCTGTATAGAGGCTGGTTGTTTTTCACAATCTTCTCCTATTTTATGAATTCCTTATGGTTAAAATTATGGTATACAGCAGTCCTGCACATTGCTCTTCTAGCGGTTTGGTTTCAAGTAGCTTCATGCTTGGTCATGTTGCCTGTGTGGTTTTGGTTCTTCTGGTGGCACAAATGAATGTTGATATGTGGTCATAAATTATGGTCATATTCAATATAGTTGGTTCCCGATTGATTAACCTAAACAAGTTTGACATTGGTTATTACAACAGACTACCAGCGGTAAAAAAAAATCAGAGGTTATCAAAGAATATCTGCTCCATAAATGTTGGCAGGGGATGATGTTTGAACTTAGCTTTCTCATCGAAATCTTCTGTGGCGAAGAGCAAGTTCAATTTTTTTTTTTTTTAATTTTTTTTTTTCTAACAAAACATGTCGGCATATCTAGTACTAGAAACCCCATGAAAATGACGAGTTTATTTCTTTTTGGGTCCAACAAAAAGTCATCATTCCATTGTAACTCAAGTAATTAAAGGTATTTACTTTCATACCCAATACTTTAGGTTCGTTTTTCTCTTCCCCAATGTTGATTGTTTTTCATAAGAAAAACGAAAAAAAGTTATGTTTGTGGCAATGAAGTTGCACATATAGCCCATGGGTAATGGTTATGACTTCAATTGCGGAGCCAAAGGCCCAAAACAAAAACTACACTAAAATATACACTCAAATTTATCTTGAGAATCCAAATGAAATAAAAAGCTTATAGGAAAACATAAACTCAGCACAGCAAACCCATTCGCAAATTTTGCTCTGCGTGAGGTTCTGCCTTCTACATATCCCAGCTTCTGCGTAGGTTCTAACAACTTAAAAACGCATGTCGTCTAATAAAGTTGTTGATCCTATGCCATGCCATTTGTGGATCTTATAGAATCTAAATAACATAAGCTAGATTTTATTTAACTTGCATGGATCTTATTTGGTTTGAGGTGACTCACTACTTTAACTCAAGGTGGATCCTCACCATCCTTCTCATCACTTAATATTTGTCCATATGCATAACTATGATTCCATAAATATAAAGTAAGTATTAAGAATGATGGAGAGAATACATCAAAGAAGGAACAAGGAATTTTTATAGGGGTAATCACATTTTTTTGAAACCAATAATTTGTTTTCTAATTCTATTTGGAGATTTATTTCCTATTCTACTAGGATTTTATTTCTTTCTCTTTTGTACAAATTGTGTAATTAGGAGTTTATTTGTTTGGTCGTATAACCCTACTAGAGTTTACATACTTGTATTATAAATACCTCCTTTTGAAAGATGAAAATATATCAAAAACTATTTTACCCCATATTGTTTGACTCTTTGCACTCTGACACACCGTTTTATTTCTTTTGCATGTTATTTTTTACATTGAGGTAGGAATGCATGCTAAACTAGCAAAAGAGGATGAAATTGATATTGCCGAAATAATCTTACATAAACTTAAAGGAAAGTGTGTGTGAGTCAAACTTCATCTCCAGTCCAGCTGTTCTTCATCTTGGGACCTGTAGGCCCTTCTTCCCCTAATACTTCATTTGGTAGACTCTTTACGAATTTATCAAAAGCAGATTTGAGCTTTCCAGGCAAAAGTTTCTCCACCTTTTTGATTTCGTCCGCAATGTCATAACTAATGTTTGGACCCCATTTCCTAGAGTAGTTCAGCCATGGTGGCTCAGTCACAGCCGACCCCAAATACTCAGCCGAGACTAATAAAGAGCTTTGTCCAGTGTCCAATACCTTCTTACTCTTGGCTGTATCATTCCTTATTCCTATTCCCCCACTCCCTTGCAAAACAAGCCCTGCCTTCGGATACAAGGCATGCCCATGCAATGAAGCATAGCCCACTGCTTTGTTTCCATTTTCAAACTCAAGCTGGGAAGCGTCCACCCACGTGCCCCCGCTGTGCTGTGAGAAGAAGACCCTCCACAGTTCCCCTGTGAAATTGCTGACTCGTAAGGTCATATGCTCCCAATCACCAACATGCTCGCCTATCTTCCCTAATGAGATGTTGAAAAACTCAACTTTGGCCGTCGCCGGCCCATTGAAAGGGTAGAATACCCATATGGCTATATCCGTAAATGTTGATCCCATCATGGGCTTTATGTGTAAATACACTTGATAGTGGAGTAGATCGCCCTTTTTCACTCTTTCACTGGCGCTTTTATCCACGGGTAGGTCCAGCCAATAGGAGCCATCATTTGAGCCACCTTGGGGAAGGTTGGAGCCCGTTGGTTCGATGGCAACTGCATCACCTTGTTTCTTGTATAGAAGGGCCCCATTGCTAAAAAACCAGCCCACCGAAGAAGGGAGGTATACTTCGTCAGGATGCAAGTATATGAGTGGGGAGTAAACTTCAAGTAATGCCTTAATTTGAGTTAGGTTGGGCATGTAAATATGAGAATTAGATAGAGATAGCGTGTTCTTCAAACAAGCGATCGTAATAGTAGACGAAGGAAGACCATTTAGGGCTACGAATGTGCCAGCGGGTACGCCTATAGCTTGGGTCCCCCTATTGCTTGGTCTGAGGCTAAACACATTAAAACCATTGGCATCACCAGCGGTACCTGGTCCCCAAATCCACGAGTCAGCCTCGCAGTGGTCAGTGAGGTCAGATCGAACGCACCTGATTTGATCAAGAGATGGCTTCTCCGGAGAGCTGGTGACCACATGGCCGATGGCTTCATAACCATGTGGGGGAGTGGGTAACCAGACGTAGCCATCGCCATCTTTCTTTAGATTCTTCAAGGACTCGCTGTTCCACACGAGAGTGTAATCAAGTGGTTTCTTGAGTAAAAGGTGGTCATCTTCATCTTCATATTCATCTTCATCTTTATGTTTTGTTGACTTTGCAGCAAGGGCCCATCCCGAAAGAGGTTTGTTGTTGGGTTGGCTATAGCAACCAAGCATATAGAAACCTTGGGGTAAGGGTGAAGGTTCGAAGAAGCTTGCCCCAAGGTTGTCTGGTCCCCCCTCATAGGTAGCCCAGACTTTGGTGAAAGATGATATCTGGTATACTTGTAATCCACCTAGATCGATGCTTCCACTTGCGAACCCATTACCTGAAACATGGTATAATTAAGGATATAAACTATGTATCCAAAGAGAAAATATATCATCATCAAACACATATAGTGTGTGTCTAAATTAGAGGCGGTAGCACGTACCAGGTGGCCAGCTGGGTAATGGAGCCGGAAGCCTGAATGTGGTTTCGATAGGTAAAGCCTTGCTTTTCTTGTAAACACCCCTTGCTGAAGCTGAGAGGGCAGCGCAATTTCCCATTGTTGATGTCTTCGAAGATTGAATTTCTATACAGAAATGATATCTAAAATCTATATGGAACAACAATGTATAAAGGACGATAGGAACAAGAAAAATATTCTGTTTCAATTGAAAGGCTTGAAAAACAATGTAAAGGACGATTGGTATAAAGGGACCGGCCCTTGGATGTGTCGTGCAAGCAAGCCAATTTTGGCTATTTTGATGCTTCCAAAATTGTTCAACTTGTCTTGAAAACCGAAATTGCTTTCTTAGGGGGAAAGTGTGTCCTACGGATATTGCTTTCTTGACTGGGTGGATCCATGCAAGAGAGATCGATGCCATTGCTGATTCCTTCAGTTATTCTAAAGTTTGAATTACTCTACTTTAATCCTCTTACTCTAAAACAAAAAAGTGAGATTTTGAATAAGATAACCAATAGTACTTTCAATGGGACATCATTGGTGACTCACCCAACCCACACAGTTGAATTGAAGACATTGAAATACTCAAAAATAACCTCCAAGCATCTGCTTATTATATTTTGCCAATTGGTAGGGGCATAACCGTCCTGTCGTTTGGCTGTGTTCTTCTGTCACCACTGATTTTTTATTAATGGGCTGTGTTGCTAAATGAACATGTACTTAGAAAGGAATGTATGTTGGCAACTCAAATTGAGGAATGTTCCAGTGATTGATCTCCTGCGCAATCTAAGGATGACCGTTGCAAGGGCAAAAAATCAGTTTACAAGTCTGACAATGTTAAATCATACTTGTCCCTGTGTTGCGGCATCGATACCAATTAGGTGGTTTGTAGGTTGGTACTCATGGGTGGTCCTATATGGTTAAAATTATGGTATACATCAGTTCTGCACATTGCTCTTCTAGCGGTTCGGTTTTCAGGTAGCTTCATGCTTGGTTAATATCTATTACAGCAGACTACCAGCAGTGAAAGAAATCAGAGGTTATCAAACAACATCTGCTCCATAAATGTTGGCAGGAGATGATGTTCGAACTTAGCTTTCTCATCGAAATCTTCTGTGGTGATAAGCAAGTTCAATTATTATTTTTTCTCTAACAAAACATGTGTGAGAGGGCCCATGGGTAAAGGTTATGACTTCAATGGCAGAGCCAAAGCCCAAAACATAAACTACACTTAAATATATCTTGAGAATCCAAATGACATAAAAGGCCTATAGGAAAACATAAACTCAGCCCAGCAAACGCATTCTCAATCATATTTTGCTCTTTGTACACAACGAGTATGCAAGTCCTAGCTTCTGCGTAAGGTTCTAGCAATACTCTGCCAGCAGCAGCAGAACAAGAAAAGCAAAATAGAAAAGAAGCGAATTCGAAGAAGCAATGGCACTATTGATGGAAAAGGGGTCTGAACCCCAAACCGAAAGCGAAAGAGCTGACCTTGATGCCATAGCCGCTCTCAAACAAAATACTGCTATTGAACTCAAGGTTTTCTCTCTCTCACACAGTTAAAAGCACTTGATAGAATTATATTGTCCTTGTTTTTACATATATATTATTTTTTTGGGTTTGGCAGGACAAGGGTAACAAGTATGTGAAGATGGGCAAAAAGCACTTCGCTGATGCCATAGATTGCTGCACGAGAGCAATAAATCAGCAAGCTTTGAGTGACTCTGACACCTCTCTTCTCTTTTCAAATAGGGTCCATGTCAATCTTTTACTTGGTAATTACAGACGTGCTCTTACTGATGCTGAGGACTCAATTAAGCCCCGTTCCATTAATGTCAAGGTGCTCAAATTTTTACCATGTTATTGTTCTCAGCTGGGCTTTGTTTGAATATTTAGTCTTTTTTTGTTGTGATTTTAGCAATACGGGTTTTGATAATAGGCTCTGTGCCGAGCTTCCAAAGCGTATTTTGCATTGAACTTGTTGCCTGAATCAACTTTGCATTGCCAAAATGGGCTTAAGCATGACCCAAGTAACGAAGAGATAAAGAAGCTGTTAAGGCAAATTGAGTCAAAGAAGATGGAACATGAACAGCGTGAGGCTCAAGTTTCCAAGGCTATATCAGAGGCTAAGGTTTGATTATATTACTAATGGAATGATACAATTATGAATGAACTGTTTGTGATTGTTCTCAGGCTCATGTTTATTTCTTTGTTGAAACTATGCAGGACCTTGTTTCCACGATCGAAAGTAGAGGACTGAAAATTGGGAAGGCAATAGAGGACTGAAAATTGGGAAGGCAATGTATCAAGAACTTACAGGATTAAGAAAGCTGTATTAGATAAGATAAGAATAATATTCTTCATTGGCCAGTTCGTCTGCTGTATGCAGAGGTTATGTCCAGTGACTTCATTGAGGATTTCTGTGAGACTGAAATGTTGTCAGCTAATCTGGACATGATATCCCTTCTTTTAAAGTGTTCTGTTATATTTTAGAGTTGAATTGCCTATGAGTTTTCTATGTAGCATCCAATGCTTTTCGATATATGTGCATTTTGTGTTTTCCGGAGCTTTCAAACATGTTTTCAGAAAACTGCCCACCCATGTCATGGGATCAGGAACACAATTACACTCGTGAAGCTGTTGAATTATACTATGAAGTAGGTCATTTTATTTGGTTCTGGGGTCATTGATTTTGCAGGCTCTGGTGTTTTTCACTTGGTTGGAGGCTAGCAGGCTTGTGGGGTGCTCTTATTGAAGGCCCACGCATAGGCCGGTTCAATCGTGAAGGTAGGTCTGTGGCTATGCGTGGACATAGCGGCACATTGGTTGTTTTGGGGACATTTCTTCTTTGGTTTGGTTGGTATGGCTTCAATGCAGGCTCATTCCTCAACATTCTCAAGGCCTATGGGGAGAGCTGATCCTATTATGGACAATGGAGTGCAATAGGAAGAACTGCAGTGACAACCACAATGGCTGGATGCTCAGCAGCACTGACTACTCTCTTTGGGAAGCGCTTGCTCTCCGGTCATTGGAACCTCACCGACGTTTGCAATGGCTTGCTTGGTGGGTTTGCAGCAATCACCTCTGGTTGCTCAGTTGTTGATCCTTGGGCTGCAATCATTTGTGGGTTCGTGGCAGCTTGGGTTTTGATGGGATGCAACAAGCTTTCTGAGAAGTTGAGGTATGATGATCCATTGGAAGCAGCACAGCTTCATGGAGGGTGTGGCTCATGGGGAATTATATTCACTGCATTGTTTGCCAAAAAGGCTTATGTGGGAGAAGTCTATTCAGGGCAACCAAACAGGCCATATGGGCTTTTGATGGGAGGAGGTGGAAAGCTCTTGGCTGCACATTTGGTTCAGATTGTGGTGATTGTAGGGTTTGTGAGCTTGACAATGGGAACATTGTTTTTCTTGCTGCACAAGTTGAAGCTCTTGAGGATTTCATCAGAGGAGGAGATGGCAGGAATGGATGTGACCAGTCATGATGGATTGGCGTATGTATATACCGACGAATGCAACGATCCGGCAATGCTCAAACCTGGATTCGTGGTCTCAAGGACAGGCCCTCCTTCATTAGCTGTTTGATTTGAGTTTTGATGTTCCTACCCCCCTTGAATTTAAACTGTAATGTAGTTTGGTTAGGTACTTTTAATTGATGAAATATGTAGACCAGTTCACATTGCAAATGTTTCTCAATATTCCATTAGTAGTTTCTTTGGTTTCAAAATCATTATTGTTCAGATGTATTGTATCGGTTGGGAAATCAAATCATTAGCTGCCATTAATTTTCCATGTAATACAACTGGGCCAACAAAATTGGGGATTTGTTGTTGATCTTTTTGGACATAACGAAAAGACTTTTGAAATTAATTAGCATAAGAAAACAGAACGCATAATAAGTGAAAAGCAAGTTCTAACTCAAATGAAATTATTCAACATGGTAACCAAGGTGGTTGGTGTGAGTGGTTCGGCACTCTCATTCCTTAAGAGAGGTCAGGGGTTCGATCCCTGCTCTCGTATGGAGTCACCACTTTGGCCAGCACTTTACTCCTTACGGGCCGACCCGGTGTGAACGGGGATTAGTCTGGGTTGTGGTTAAGGCTTAAAGGTGCCATCCATAGTTGGAGCCCATCCAGGACCACCTCGTGGTTCAGACCAAAAAAAAAAAAAAATTATTCAACATGTTGTTGTGTTTAATATGTAAATACATTAGGCTGGTCAAGCAAGACAAGGCTTTGAGTAAAATCATCCATGACCGAGTAAGAGCAGGATCCTTTAATTTGCAAATTGTTAACTTGTTTGGTCTTAGGGTTCACAGACCGATATTGAACGTTATCAACAATCAGTTTGAGCACAACTTCATCACCACTTTTTCTACAACCAACCAGTCTAGAAATACACCCTTCCAGGCATATTGCAAATAGTTTATCCCATGATTTGGCCACACCATACTCTTTCATCACCCACATGGTCATGTGAAGAAGCCAACCACAACCAACACTTTCTTTCCTCTCCTCAGAGCTTTCGAAAAATGCAAGGGACTCTCTGTACCTCGACACCACGCAATGTGGATCAGAATCGAAACATTTTTGTGTTTCAGCTTCTGGTGGTATGGTTATCTTGCCGAATACTTCATCGGACATATCAAACGACCCAACGGAAATATTCCCGGTGTTCACGTTTACTTGAACCCAATGCAGAGCACCATTGACAAAAGCAGGCGCATGACCAGCATCAAAGTCCCGTTGTTCGATGTCACGTTCATGATGATGACGATCATTACCAGTATTGATAGTCTTCCAAGAGCCCTTGGCTAACGACCAAATCTCATATTGACATGAGATAAATTTGCCTTCTTGCAAACAAGACACTCTTCGTAAGACCTTATAGTCATTGGCACGCCTGTCGTAGCCAAAGGAGCATCTTGCTTCTCGACGATCATATCCATGACAAAAGGTAACACCAGACTTGGGCAAAACCACAAACTTTCTGATGCTAGGGTTCCAAACTAATGTGGTCAAGTCAATGTCTTCCCCAGCAAGGCACACGAGCCCGTTACAAATTCCGACAAACTCGGATCCCCAGGTATGGTTTCTGGTGCGTTCGGCGTAAACTTCATATGGATTGTCAAGATCGATATACTCCCTAAGCGTAGATGATGATGCACGGGGGTCGTCGTCATCCCTGTACAATGAGTAAAGCTCAAATTCAGGATTGTGAAGGAGGAGTTGAACGCCGTCGTTGTTTCGACGGTTGGATTCGTTTAATTGGTTGATCAGACGGGTGTGGATGAAGGCAGGGCTTTTGATCATACAACTCCATGACTTGCACACTGCCGTGCACCCAAGTAGAGATTTGACTGGTAACCGTAGCAAGATTTCGTATATGATTTCTTCAGGAACCCTGTCCCATACAATTGGTTCCATCGATCCAATTCTGCGTGTTATTTTGATTTGGGTTTTTATTTTTGGTCATATAGGAGAAAGTCTTGGTCTAGGGATAAACCTAATCCTTTTCTACGTTTCTTCCTATTTGGGCTTTGGAAAAATTTAATTAAGACACCCAAACGGAAATAAGACATCCTTTCAAGTTAAATTTAAATGAAATTAGGTTTAAAATAATTAATTACTATTTATTAAGTCATTTATGAAATCAATAACATGTTTAAATATTCACTAAAGAAATAATAATTAAAACATAATTACTAATCAAAGTAATTCAAAATGGCTAAGATTATGGTATACATCAGTTCTGCACAATGCTCTTCTAGCGGTTCGGTTTCAAGTAGCTTCATGCTTGGTCATGTTGCCTGTGTAGTTTTGGTTCTTCTGGTGGCACAAATGAATATTGATATATGGTCATAAATTCTGGTCATATTCAATATAGTTGGTTCCCGTTCCCGATTGATTAACCTAAACAAGTTTGACATTGGTTGTTAATATCTGTTACAGCAGACTACCAGCAGTAAAAGAAATCAAAGGTTCTCAAAGAACACCTGCTCCATAAATGTTGGCAGGAGATGATGTTTGAACTTAGCTTTCTCATCGAAATCTTCTGTGGTGAAGAGCAAGTTCAATTATTATTTTTTTCTAACAAAACATGTCGGCATATCTAGTACTAAAAACCTCATGAAAACTACGAGTTTATTTCTTTTTGGGTCCAACAAAAAGTCATCATTGAACGAGGGTTGTAGCTCAAGTATAGTTAAAAGGTATTCACTTTCATACCCAATATTTTAGGTTCATTTTTCGATTGTATAATAAGAAAAATGAAAAATGTTATTTGGGTTTGTAGCAATGAAGTTGCACATATAGCCCATGGGTAATGGTTATGTCTTCAATTGCGGAGCCAAATGCCCAAAACAAAAACTGCACTAAAATTTATCTTGAGAATCCAAATGATAAAAAGCTTATAGGAAAACATAAACTCAGCATAGCAAACCCATTCGCAAATTTTGCTCTGCGTAAGGTTCTGCCTTCTGCATATCCTGCGTAGGTTCTAACAACTTAAAAACGCATGTCGTCTAAAGCCAAATGTCGTCTAATAAAGTTGTTGATCCTATGACATGCCATTTGTGGATCTTATAGAATCTAAATAACATTAGCTAGATTTTCTTTAACTTGCATGAATCCTGTTATTTGGTTAGAGGTGCCTCGTTATTTTAATATAAGTTGAATTCTCATCATCCTTCTCAACATTTGATATTGTCCATATCATAACTATAATTCCATAAATACAAAGTAAGTATTATCATTCTTTATTTGTTGTACGACCCAAAAGAGGAAAGAGAGAGAAGATCGATGGGGAGGAAGAAGACCAAAAAGTTGAACGTGTATTCCTTTTTCTTTTTAGTTTTATATAATTAAGCTAATCATTCTAAGACAATACATTCCAACTGCCACACAACGCGGCGAAGACTTTAACCAGATATTTGGCGCCATATGGTTGGTGGACAGGAGCCTATAAATATACCAGAGTTCGCGTCAACCTTTGATCAACCCCGCCATATCCAAAAGAATACGACAGGAGAGAGAGAAGACTTTGACCAGAATTTGCGTCATCATACGATTGCTCTATTAAATGTCAGACTTTCCTGCACTTGACATTGATTGATTGACAAAATCCCAGTGTCGCTTTTATGGCAACTTTTTGCATTTGAAAAAAAATTTATTTTGGTTTCAGAAGGGTTGAATTGCTGTAACCTCAAAATGGGCACGTCTAGGAAATAGTTAAGATGGAAAGAATAAAGATTGGAATGTTCTATCTATCTCAATTTATTTTACGGAATAATGATGGGTGTAAAGATATGATTGTGGTTTTTTAAATTTTCATAGTGGATGGAAAAATAAAACAGGTGGTGAAAATAGTAATATTCTATTCATAATATATTGATAAAATACAATTTAATCACATAAAGACCCACATATTATATCAATCGATCACACAAGGAATACCACATACATATTATACTTTCCACATATTAATTTTTTCCCTGAACCCTAAACGTCCCATACAACAAGTTTATTCATTGAAAACGATGCGCATTGAATTCTTTTCAGTTGCGTAGACTAGGGACCTCTCTCACGATGCCGTTTGAATTGATCCAGACCCAAACTTTGTCACACTTGAGATCCTTTGCTGGCCTCGGAGTGTCTTCCACCACAACGATTGCTCGAACATTAGGGTTGTCTCTCTCTATCTTCACTGCTGCAGCTTCCCCAATTTCTCCGACCAACTCAGGCCATGATCTTTTACCCGCTGTAACATTGCAACAAATTAATAAATCAATAATCAAAATAGTTAGAAGTTGATATTCATTATATATATATATGTATATGTAATAATAAACCAAAATTTACACACACAAAAAACCCACTTCAAAGCAAGTAGCCTAGATCTAATATATGGTACAGCATAATCACATAAAAAAACCAGACGGCAATTGACGAGTTTCACACTAAAGAACCACGCACAAGTAGCTAGTGCTGGGTTTTTCCTCTCAAAATAGACTCTATAAGGATTTTTGTAATATTATTTCATGCTAAAATGTATTTATTTATAAAAACTTGCAATGGACATTACCGACTCTCGGGATGCATGGATTGGGGCCGGGCGGTGGAACCAGAGCTCTGTCCTTGGGCAAGCCGTAATGCTCATTGGCTGCAAAATCGGAATTAGGCTGCATCATAGGAGGCCCAGTAGGGTTGGAATTAACCGCAATCAGATTCATGAAGCACAGAAACCCCACAAATTTTATAGTGGTGTTGAAAACCTGACCAAAGTTATAAGACATTGCCTTCATGCTGAAAACAGAGAAGAGAGATGAGATGAGTGTTATTTTGTGAGAGGAAATGTTCCAAGGCCCAGATATATATAGGGAAAAAAAAATACTTATTGAAGAGTTCTTTGGTGCATCTAGAAGGAAGGATAGGTTTTTAACTTATATATAATTCTTTACCTACCAATGGGTGGTATTCTCAGATTGAACAAGTTGTCTCAACGAACCATGTAAAAGTTGGCCGGCCAATCACATTTCTGAACGAGAGCCGCAACGTCCACTTAGTCAATAATATACATATAATTGTCATGATATTCTCAGATTGTTACGTGCACAACACAGACGCACACACGGGATATTGATATCAATAACGGCTTTAATTTTTCTACTTAGCTTTTTCTAAAGCCTCATGGCTGCTTTGGCTTGCATGATATCAAGGTTCGGTCTACTTTCAAACATTTGTACTAAGAGAGAGGGGATGAGATGATGTTATGTCTAATTTGGTGAAAATATATGCATCATTCATTTCACCCACTTTTATTTTTAATTTATCCTTACAAGAAACTTCTCACTCACCCATTTTGCAATTAAAAGGATTCACTATATTTGTGCACTAGCTTAGGATAAACTAAAACATATTTTATAGGACATGTGAAACTTTCGGAACAATGAGTTTAATTTGGTTGATGACTTGTGATAAATAATGTTTGACACACTTGGAAATAATTTGGTTGCGATTCGCCTTCATCCCCAAGTAGGACAAATTTAGAGTACATTATTTGTGACTTCAAATTTCATGACAATTATCATGTCGGCTACCTAGTTTTTTCGTTTGACTGAAATAATCCTTCAAATGTTTAGAATTTCCGTTTTCAAAGTCCATTGTTTATCATCTATGCATAGTTATTAATTAATTGGTATGGGGTGGATCCATTCAAGAGAGATGCCATTGCTGATTCCTTCAGTTATTCTAAAGTTTGAATTACATTAGTTGACTTTAATCCTCTTATTCTAAAGTTTGAATTATCTTATACATCAGTCCTGCACATTGCTCTCCTAGCGGTTCGGTTTCAAGTAGCTTCATGCTTGGTCATGTTGCCTGTGTAGTTTGGTTCTTTTTTTCTTTTTTTTTTGGTCAATACTGGAATTCATTGCAAGCCCAGAAAACAACCGAGGCCAAAAGGGATACAAGCAGTGAAGTTCTTTCTTTTTTTTGGGTCTGAAAAGCAGTGAAGTTCAAGCAAACATGCTGACCGACAAAAAGAGCATGCAAACAAACTTGAGGAGAGGAAGAGAGACGTGTGCAAACAGCTAAAACGTCAAAGGCCTCGAAGCTTCCAAAATTAGCATACTTTTTTCAGTCAACAAGAAAAAAACAAAACCCATTCTTATTGCCACAAAGAAAAACCAGAAAAGGCGTGCGTTGGTTGCGATTGTTGTGCTAAGGAGGGGATGGTGTGTGACGACACTGGATGATGTCGTATTGTTACGTGTACACAGACGCACACGCACCGTCCGCGAGCGGCTGTCTTTTCATGGGCGTTGGGGATTATTTGGGATGAGCCTAGTTGAGAATTTGAGATCCCCTGTTCCACTAAACAATATATCAATAATGGCTTTCACTTTTCTACTTAGCTTTCTCCAGGAGCACCTTCGCCCCATAAGGCAAGGGTAAGGTTAAGATAAGGCAAGAATAGTGTCAGCATTGTCTTTTTTAGTTCCACCCCAAAGAGCAAGGGCAAGGACAAATACTATTCACTTTACTTTATTTATTTTCTATTTTTTTTTTATACTTAACTATTAATTTTGATAGCTTTTCAGATAATATTTTCAGTTGCAATGTGTCACTATTTATTATAAAATTTCAAATTAAATTTTTGAATAAGATTTTCGGTTGCCACGTGTCCATATTTATTATAAAATTCATATCTCACACATACAATTGAAATACTCTTAGTCCTCATAGTTCAACACAATGGAGTACAAGGACAAATCACGACATAGGGGAGTATTTTCATTCGGAGGACGTAATAGTGCCATTATTTCCGACACGGAATGCACAACTGGAACCGACTACGGGCATTGTTCACTTGAGGAGCCATGTGTAATGGTTTTCCTCTTTTTTGTTTTCCCTTGAATAATCTATTTAAAAAAAAGGAAATTGGAAAAGCAAGAAATATATATATATATATATAAATATATATATAATGACATTAAATTGAATAAAACGGCAATTTTATTTATTTTTACCTCGTCACCAAGATTTTGACATCTTCGAACGTTTGTCAACAACCTTCCAGCTTCGATGGAAGAGGTCATTTGTATTTTTGGACAAATGGAATTTTGTAGTAGAAAATTTGGTGTGGAAAGTGAAAAATATTGGAATGAGATGAATTTGTATGAAGATTTGGTGTGAAAAGTGAATAATATTGGTAGGTATTTATAGAAAAAATTTCCATAATTTTTTGATATTTTTTTAACAAATTTTTGATATTTTTTCAATTTTTTAAGCTAAAAATTGGACAGCCGTTAGATTGTGCAAGATTTTTTGATCTGAGGCTCCAAGAGAAGCCATGTGGCTTATAACTGTTGGGCTATGTGGGCTGATGGGTCAACACTGACATCAGTTGCTTTTTTTTATTGAATGCACTAGGAGAAGCCACATGGCTTATAATTGTTGGGCTATGTGGGCTGGTGGGTCAGCGCTGACGTCGCGCTGACAATAGTAAAAAAATTTTGCAACGTCGTCATGACGTCATGCTGACATCAGCAGCTCGAGGGCAACAACCCAGGCAAGATTTGCCCAGGCAAGATTCTTTGCGATGGAGGTCCAAACTTTCCCGGGGGGGTAAGGGCCTGTTGCCCTGGCAGGCCTGCTGCACTGGACTTGCTCTAAAGCCTCATGGCTTTAGCTTGCATGATATCAAGGGTCGGTCTACTTCCTACATTTGTACTAAGGGATAGGGCATGAGATGATTTTATGAATAATTTGGTGAAAATATATGCATCATTCATTTCACCTTCTTTTATTTTTTATCCTTACAAGAAACTTCTCACTCACCCATTTTGCAATCAAAATGATTCACTATATTTGTGCACTAGCTTAGGACAAACTAAAGGGCCAACCTACATATTTTATAGGATATGTGAAACTTTCGAACGAGTTTAATTTGGTTGATGACTTGTGATAAATAATGTTTGACACACTCATAAATAATTGTTAACCGTCAGTTCATCAAACAATTGATAGTCATCCACCATCTAAAGACCAGCCAGACATAAGATTATTCTACACGTTGTAATGAAACAGGAACAAGTGGTAACAAGTGAGTCCGTGCCATCTCATCTAAATGTCTTGTCTCCTGAGCCTACTTTTATAGAGCCAGGAATGGTTATGTTTGAGTTCGTAACCTCTTGGAATGGTCTCACACAGGTGTAGTCTCGACCGTCTCTATCCGTGCTTCCCAAAAGACCTGAAGCTTGCATGGGTATAGAGAGCCTCGCTTGTGCTTTCAAATTGAAAGAAGCTATTTAACACAATTTGTGTTTCAGCAAAATGATTATCTGCAGGCGTACGGGTGTAAGGAGCTTTGGTCGTGTAAATAGTCTTATGAAGTCTGAGTGTACAAAGGTATTGTCAGGTGAGATGCTGTATAGAGGCTGGTTGTTTTTCACAATCTTCTCCTAGTTTATGAATTCCTTATGGTTAAAATTATGGTATACGTCGGTCCTGCACATTGCTCTTCTAGCGGTTTGGTTTCAAGTAGCTTCATGCTTGGTCATGTTGCATTTGTAGTTTTGGTTCTTCCGGTGGCACAAATGAATGTTGATATGTCACATGTGGTCATAAATTATGGTCATATTCAATATTACTCCCGATTGATTAACCTAAAGAAGCATTGGCACTATTGATGGAAAAGGGGTCTGAACCCCAAACCGAAAGCGAAAGAGATGACCTTGATGCCATAGCCGCTCTCAAAGAAAATACAGCTATTGAACCCAAGGTTTTCTCTCTCACACAATAAAAGCACTTGATAGGACTATATTGTCTTTGTTTTTACATATTTTTTTTCTGTTGGGTTTGGCAGGACAAGGGTAACGAGTATGTGAAGATGGGCAAAAAGTACTTCGCTGATGCCATAGATTGCTACACGAGAGCAATAAATCAGCAAGCTTTGAGTGACTCTGACACTTCTCTTCTCTTTTCAAGTAGGGTCCATGTCAATCTTTTACTTGGTAACTACAGACGTGCTCTTACTGATGCTGAGGACTCAATTAAGCTCTGTTCCACTAATGTCAAGGTGCTCAAATTTTTACCATGTTATTGTTCTCAGCTGGGCTTTGTTTGAATATATAGTCTTATTTTGTTGTGATTTTAGCAACATGCGTTTTGATAATAGGCTCTGTGCCGAGCTTCCAAAGCGTATTTTGCATTCAACTTGTTGCCTGAATCAACTCTGCATTGCCAAAATGGACTTAAGCATGACCCAAGTAACGAAGAGCTAAAGAAGCTGTTAAGGCAAATTGAGTCAAAGAAGATGGAACATGGACAGCGTGAGGCTCAAGTTTCCAAGGCTTTATCAGAGGCTAAGGTTTGATTATATTACTAATGGAATGATACAATTATGAATGAACTGTTTGTGATTGTTCTCAGGCTCATGTTTATTTCTTTGTTGAAACTATGCAGGACCTTGTTTCCGGGATCGAAAGTAGAGGACTGAAAATTGGGAAGGCAATGTATCAAGAACTTACAGGATTAAGAAAGCCTGTATTAGATAAGAATAATATTCTTCATTGGCCAGTTCGTCTGCTGTATGTAGAGGTTATGTCCAGTGACTTCAATGAGGATTTCTGTGAGACTGAAATGTTGTCAGCTAATCTGGACATGATATCCTTCTTTTAAAGTGTTCTGTTATATTTTAAAGTTGAATTGCCTATGAGTTTTCTATGTAGCATCCAATGCTTTTGGATATATGTGCATTTTGTGTTTTCCGGAGCTTTTAAACATGTCTTCAGAAAACTGCCCACCTTTGTCATGGGATCAAGAACACAATTACACTCGTGAAGCTGTTGAATTATACTATGAAGTAGGTCATTTTATTTTGTTGTAATTTGGTTTACATATACTCAATATTAAAAGGAAATGTTGTCCAGCTTCCATAAAGAGTTCAAAGCTGGGAAATGGGCTCCTCCACCTTGAGTTGCTGGTCGGTTATCTCTTGAAGACAGGCGATGTCTATTACGATACCTGTCAAAGCTAGTGATACCTGGGTATATGACTAGGCGTCATAGTTTTCGTTCCACAAGAATGCCTGTGGTGATGGCAAAACTCTGGGAAGTCACAAGGTTGTACAATTGAGATAGCTTTCCAAATGTTTGTATTATTATTAGTTGAGCTAGTGCATGTACCAAAAACATGAAAACCACAATATAGAAATGTTTTTAAAAATCAAGTATGTTTCCTGATTGTTTTATCATCTTATGGTTGAGACTTTTCCTTGTTTTTTACTTTACACTTTAATAGCAATTGACCAATCAGGCATGGAATATTCACAGATTGGAGGAAAATTTGAAACGTTCATTTAGCTTGGTTAAATTTCTCACGTGGTGTTATATAGTACAGAATGTAACCAGTGTTTTCAAAGGCATGCCTTCGCGCGCGTCGGAGCGCGCGTCGGCGCGAGGCGGCAGGGAAACGCCCGAGGCGATCGGCCGTTTCGGACGTTTAGCGATGGGAAGGCGTAAGAAGGCGTTGCAAGGCATGTTGAAGCGTAGCGAGGCGGAGCAAGGCGTGCAGATCTGGAAACCTCTGAACCGGAAGAATTTTGCTCGTCTGCAAACTGTCTGCAAGGAAGAACTTCGCGAGGAAGACGACCTGCCTTTTTTTTTTTTTTTTAGGTTATTGAAACGACGTCATTTTGATTGTAGCGTTTAAAAACAATTTAAAAACGAAACGACGTCACTTGGAGTGTGTTGGAAAAAAGAAAACCGCAAGTTTCTACTTTTTTTTACCCCCCCTTACCTTTATTGTAATAAACTGAAGGCATTCTTCTTGCCTTTTCCAACTCCAGCCGGCGCTTTTCTACTTACCCCTTTTTCTTTTTTTTTTTCTTTTTTTTTTCCTTTTCTAAATTAATATATATATTGTATAGTACATATACAACCATAATTTATACCCTTACCAGATAATCTCCATCAATTTCAAGAATTCTTTTCATCTTTTAACTGCAAGTAAGTCATTTTATTTTTCTCTCTAATTCTTCGCAACTGTAATTTCAAGTTCCGTATATTTTTTTTTCTATTTTTTTTAAAAATATACTAGTTGTATTATTCTTACATTTTTCTTATTAAAATAAATTAATGTTCAAAAAGCTTACGCCTCAACGCTTCAAGGCTTACGCCTCGCGTAGCACTACTGAAAACGTCTCGCCTATACGCCTCGCCTTTGAAAACATTGAATGTAACAGCTTTACAGTTTCTGATCTCCAAAATAGGAGGAAAATCAGTTATGGAATTACGGACCTAAGCGTATTTGGTCTCCACTTGTCTTCTATTTCACTATGGAATCTATTAGATTCTCCTAATTCTTGGCCATCCACCTCTGGAATTTCTTGGGATCTTTTTGTCACAATAAATAGCCTTTAGATTCTCCACGTCTCCACATTCCCGTCTTCCTCCTCTAGTCTCTCCCATGGCTGCTATCTCTTGCTCAGCCTCTGACCTCCAACCCCTTTTTGGTGCAGCTGCCAAAGCCACCGCAGCCGCCCAATACATCTGCGGCCGCTTTGATGCCGTTTCGAACAAGTTTGTTGACACAGCCTATGCTGTTGACAACACCTACCTTCTCTTCTCTGCTTACCTTGTTTTCGCGATGCAGCTCGGCTTTGCCATGCTCTGTGCCGGCTCTGTTCGTGCCAAGAACACCATGAACATAATGCTGACCAATGTCCTTGACACTGCCACGGGCGGCCTCTTCTACTACCTTTTTGGTTTTGCCTTGGCCTTTGGCACCCCCTCCAATGGCTTCATAGGCCAACACTTCTTTGGCCTTAACAAGTTTCCCTCTCAGTCTTTCGATTACGGTTACTTTCTTTATCAATGGGCTTTTGCCATTGCAGCTGCTGGAATCACAAGTGGTTCCATTGCTGAAAGAACCCAATTCGTTGCATACTTGATCTATTCATCTTTCTTGACTGGCTTTGTCTACCCCCATTGTTTCTCATTGGTTTTGGTCTGCTGATGGATGGGCAAGCCCTGCTCGTGCTGACAATCTTTTATTTGGTTCTGGGGTCATTGATTTTGCAGGCTCTGGTGTTGTTCAC